TGTCAAACTCATGTCGCATCAACCAATGATAGGCTTCTGGGACTTCCTGCCTAATCAATTCCATTTGCCTTCTGAATTTACACTATTGGTGATTTGTTGCAGCCATCCATATTAAATCATACAAGTCCTTGTTCGGATAAGCCCTCTGGAAGTTAGCCAAGTGCCTAACACAGTAACGGTGGTAGGCATACGGTTCTTGCCGTGCATGCAAATTCTATACAAAACTTAGAATACCGCCATGCCGATCAGATATTAGACAAATACCTTAACGTTGTTTGACAATGTGCTCCTTCAAGTGGTTCAAAAATAATGTCCACGTCTCTTGGATTTCATTGGCATATATAGCAAATGCTAGGGGAAATATACTTCCATTAGCATCTACAACAACGACGATCAACAACTTAATATCATACTTTCCATAGACATGAGTGCCGTCTATGGATATTACCGACCGATAATGCACAAAACTATCAATGACTGATTTAAATGCCTAAAACACATATCTGAATATCTATTCTGGTATTCCCGTACTCCTCTCATGCTTCCATTCAACAACAGTCCTGGGGCTAAAGTGTTGCAATACAGCCATGTACCTGGGTAGAGCGGCAAATGACTTATCCCATTTACTATAAATAATTCTAAACGCACGTTTACGCCTTAGAAATGCCTTTCTTTTGGTAATGGTTCATCTATATACCTGGTGGACAGATATTATACACTCTTTGATGTTGTATCTTATGGACGCTTCAATGTGTGAAATCAAGACAAGAGATATCAAGTCAACATTCAAGTTAAATTGATTCCCACTGAATGTGTCCATTTCACAATTGTGGGTGTCAATGTATTTCCCCATAATTCACATATTTATTTTTAACTTTCTCGCAAGCAACATCCAATTACAACCTTAAAACCATCTACGACAAATAACCTTCTATACTTCTGGAGATGACTCATGAACCACGATCTCACGACACTCTTTTATGTTGTACATTCGCACTGCCCTGCTTAGACGCGCTTTATCAACAAAAAGCATGCCCTTTGACAATAGCGTTGCTCTAAATTCATCCCACATTGCTATCCGAATTTCGTCAAGATCCTTTGTGAGAGCATCTACATCCGGTATACTTGGCAACTGATCAAGGTAGGGAACATCCCTTGAATGAAACGGCGCATGAGACTCGTATACTCTTGGTCTAACGGGAGGTGGAGCATGCTCCCTCGTCAAATCAAGTTCATCATTCTCGTCCTCATCACTGTCACCCTCATCAGGAAGGGTGTGTCATATCCAGACTTGTCAATATTGTTGTCATAATCACTATCATTTTCCTGACTCTGCGCATCTGCCAGATCCCGATTAAATATGTCGTCTTCGGGGAATTGAGTAAGGACATGACCTTTAAGTTGCTCGTTTTTCCTGCACAACCAATAAAATAATGAGTTTCTCAAATTCATCCAAACTTTACATATAAAATTTTTCACTTCACTTACAAATCATAATGTGTTGATATCCCATGATGCACATTATCCTGTTGGTGATAACTCTCAGATGGACCACCATGATCCAACACCAAAACTAGGCATATTTCAACTGTCCGTTGGTTCAAAACTTGTAAAATTCATATCTGGACGGTACCCCCTGTGGAATATATGAGTGTTAATATAAATTCAATACATAAAAATAAATATTGTAACACAAAAGAAAAATTGAAGTTTACCACTCGGCTTGTGGATTATGTAAACTTAGGGAGAAATTATGTCCTCTATTCTCATTTGCCCGTGGAGATAGGTTTAGATCAGGCCAAACTCTTTCACCTGGAACATATTCGGCTAAAACTACTCCAAAATAACCACCCGATGATTGAGGGATATCCCTACTTTGCGGAACCTCATTATTGCGAATGTCTTCAGCCTTGACGTACATTTTCAATATTTTTATCACAAGAAGTTTTCGATATTCATCCGGAGTCCTCAAAAAAACTGTCAGAGTTTCATCGTCTTCGATGTTAAACTCAGCATAACAAGCAACCCCTTGCGGAGTAACAGAATACAGATATCTTTCGGTTACTTTGATATCCACCAAACGTTTGCTCATACTCATTTTTTTAATATATAACAACGATACCAATCTATCGTACTCCATTGTAAGTGGCAATTTAACATGACACTGTGGAGAACAACTATAGTGTACTGAGTTATTCTCCTCTACAACCCCTCCCCCCCAAATATAATGAAACCCTAATTTTTTGTTTTTCGGACACTATGACAAAATGCAAAATAACTTAACAAAGGTACATCCTGAATAGATTTTTACCAAATTCTGAAACTCCTTAAATAAGAAAAAAAAAATAGTCTGGAGGTACAATTATTTGATGTATAGCACATGCATTATAGGCATTGTACCCATATGAATTATTGATGGGCCAATTAAGTGCAGATGAATTATTAGTGGGATTACATTTTATATATAGCGTGATTATTCACCGTGCTATACCTTAACGGACAAAACTGTTGTTAAGATATAGCGCGGTGAATAACCGCGCTATATAGAAAATGGTGCCCGATTTTTTTTAAAATATATTTATGTCGCTTGAGTCCAAAACAATCACACTTTGGTTCAGGATTTTAATTTTTGCAAAGTACCATGTATAATACAAGTAGTACCAAATGAAAAGGTACTCCGAGCATGTACCATAAGTTAGGCCTATTTCTCACTTTACACATGAGATAGATGCAATGCATATGTACTTTGCACTATTCTCACACAATCAATTGCTCTTTCCTTTTTCTTTTTGCAATTTCTTCATTTTGCTCCACTTAGGTTTCAGAAGTTGCTTTGTCCTATGTTATATTCCTCAAACATAGCCCTTTTTTTTCACTATACTCCTAAGTCCTATCCTATGATGATTGAATTACAAGTATAGGAGGACAGAGACCTATGACCTAAGATAGTACTATATGGCTTTTTTCACACGTGGTGGGTCCATAATTCATACCTTATGGGCCCATTTGTCACTTTTGTTGGATTTAGGTCAGATTTTGTACTACTAAGTGCTAGGGTGTTTTATATTGGTTGGTGGGCCTTCAATTTAGATTTTATTTCTTCTCTGCAATAAAGAAATATTAAAACTCGTGGCACTGAATTAGACACCCCATTTGCTGAGATTTTGGGGTGTGTTCCATTTTTGTGTGCTCTATGCTCCAATTTTTTCCCCATTTATTTCATGGAATTTTCCTTAATTTACGAGAATTCGGGAATTCAAACTTTTTTGGAATTGAGATATATTATTCACGTTCGTTCACATTTACTTGTCTACTATATTAAAAATAAATTTTTAATTTTACTTGTCCACTTTCGCATATCAAAAAAAAAATAATTTACTTTTTCCTGTTTTGACCTTAGCATTAATTGTTAATTCTAAATTATTTTTCAAATTTATTAACACTATACACCAATTAATATGGATATCATGATAAATTATGCATTTTATTTATTATTTCTTAAGGGTGTTCAAAGTTAATAGTGGACAAGTAAAAGTGAACGGAGAGAGTAATAATTATTTTTTTATTCTTAATTTATTTATTTATTATTGTCTTAGTTAATTTTTTACATGAGTTCCATTTTTATGTTGCTTTTATATGCCAGTCAATCTATCATATAAGATACTTCTTGCAAGATTTCTAGTTTATTAAATTATTTAAAATTAAAAAAATTGTCCCGGTATTTTTTTTATATCAAAAAATTGTCTACTATTACTTCAATGTCTTTAGTTATTACTAATGGAATCAGCAAACACAACAATTATTATTATACCTCCATTCTAGACAAGTTTATGCTTTTTCTAAGTCAATGGTCTATCGAAAATACTCTTTTTACTTTTACAATGCAGGAGTAAGACCGCGTACATACTATCTTCCTCAGATTAAAAAAGTAGTCTGATGCACTAAGCTTCCGACTATGCACGGGTTCCAGAGAAAGGCCGGACTACAGGGTCTATTGTACATTGTCTTACCCTCCTCAGACTTCATTTGTGAAATTACATTGCATTTATTTTTATTGTTGTGATTATTATTCTAATAATTTAATGCTGACTATATGAATCCCATTATCCCTATCACTCTATTTATGCAACATTATGAAAATTTTGTTTTTTGGCACTTCAGTACGGAACACTCTCTACTAGCATCAATAGGAAAAAGCTTATTCAAATCCAATGTTTATATCAATCCAATAAATACTCTACACAAATCTTTATAACTATTAATATCACTAAATTATAATTAATTAATATAAATTCTCACCTTTACCTATCACTTAACTAAGAAATGGGGGGGGGGGGGGGTGAGGTTTATTGGCTAGACTAGTTGTGGTTGAGCTTTGGACTAAGTAGGAGTGGACACTAAAGAAGGGCTTTAAGGAGACCGAAAAGTAGCCACAGAATGTCCAAAGTATATGTGAAGATGAGAAGACATTTACTGTTTGTTAATAGTAAGCCATCTCATCTGTCATTCATCATTCCACTGTTCATTAACAGTGTTGAGTTTGTCCTCATGTTAAGGTACAAAATAGGTTACTCTAAAATTGAAAGATATATTCCTTTTTTTACTATCTTTTCTTTTTTATAGTTGATGACTAGCAGTGAAAGATAACAGATTCTTTCAATGTAATAGGACTGGCAGTGTAATTCATCTTCTGTAGCTAGACTCTCGATTTCAAATTGCGAGGTTTCAGTTTCACATTTAGAGGTTGCATAGTCAGTTGTTTTCATTATTGAAAAGGGTGTTTCTTTGAGTAGTTTTTTTCTTCTAATTCTTTGAATATTTTCAAACACACTTTCTAATCTCTTAGCTGCCTCTTTAGCACCAAAAAAATACAATATTAAGAGGTAGAATATCAGACTTGAACCCAGTTTTCAGATAACTTTCCCACCAAAAGGTAACGTAAGCATACCTTGCATGCGTAAATCAGCTGATTTTAAGATTTGTGACCAAACTCAGCAAGATATTTAAAAGCACTCTCACACACCTTAATTTATTCGAGCCCAGTTTTTTTCTGAGTAACAACCAAAGGACGACTAATCTCCTCCACTTCTCAACATAAAAGCGACTTCATCATTTCCAAAAATAATTAGGAGAAAGTTCGGTAACAGATATATTTTTCTTTGACTTATATTTGCAAAATTTCACTATTTGCATTATTGCAATCAAGCTCCAGCATTTTAAATGAGCATTGTCTCTCAATGCTTTCAAGTAGAGTGTGTGTGTGTGTGACAACCTGATTCTCCACTCCCGTGTCACCTGCCAACTCAATCACACATGGTATCCTGACTAAACCACCGTGTTGAGCCCCGATCTCAGCTTTCACCTGGAAATGTCATATCATAAAAAAACAACAGGCATCAACACAAACGTATAGATGTAATCGAACAGCAATCACATCACTCACAAAACTTTGAAAACAATACTTTTTGGGCCACTCATATCAGTAGAAGGGTAGGGGAAAAGATGAGGAGCTAGTCTCTCCCACACTTGAAATCAATTTTTTTTTTTTACAAAATGATTCCACAACCAAAAGCGCTTAAAGCACTTCCACCTTTCTCAAGAAAATATCAGGTACTAGTAAAAATCTTGAAAGGTTCTTCATAATCAAAACTGCATTAAACTTAATGTTTTTTCTATGTTTGTCTCCATTATGATATGAAGAAATTTCTAGTTTGTGAGCTTATCCATATGATGTAAGAGTAAACGCTCGCGATAAGCATACTAATCTGGAAGTTGGTTGAGAAATGCTAACCTGTTGGTATCTGGACATCCTGTTTTCGAGGATTTCATCCTTCACCAATCAGAAAGCAGTTTTCAGACGGTCATGAATCGAGCTTCCTTCTAGAATGCAAGTCGGTCAAGTTTCCTCACAGCTATCCATTGAGTTATTACCACCACTGAGCATCATCGTAACTTTGATCATCTCAAGCACGTCTGTTAGTCACACATGATCTTTCCAATTCATCGTTTCGTCCACAACTACTCAAGCCCAGCCAATCACACAAGCATAATTATATCCCGAATGTTCTGTTATACAGTTCGCCTGAATTGGGCATGCGGAACTTTGATTCCTCATATCCATTAAAGAACTTGTTATAACCCAGCCTTTCACTTCGGAGGAGTTCAGCCATGCCCAAATCGTTTGCACTTTGGACACCATTCCAGCCATCCCACTGGCCATTTGACATGACAGAGTTCCTGCTCTGGGTAACATTGAGCTGTGAAAATGGTGAAAGATTGTTGGCCAGAGTTTGCTCCACAACCCTGGAAGAAATTCCATAAGCATCATTGAATGGAGTAAAGTTATCCCCCATATCACTGAATCTCTGGTTCTGATGCAGAGAGAGAGATCTTTGCATCAGCAACTGAAGTCTTGCTTCATTTTCAAAAGCACTAAGCTGTGGAGGAAAACTTGAAGACATGTCTATACTTGAGACATTAAGGCCATTCGGAACCCTCCCTTTACCAACTGCCAATATTGCAGGATCCATAAACTCAATGTCCCCGTTGTTAACATTTCCAATTGGTGGAGCCTGATATTCATTGCGCAATAAGGAGGTGGTATCAAGAATGTGATTACCTACAAAATAAGATGATTTGAAATACACATCTAAAATTAGGTCCAACAAAGTGGAGAAAAAAAAAGACAGTTATAAGATTACTGACCAGAGAGAGAACCGTAATTCTGTTCCATTTTATCATGAGAAATAAATCCTGGGGGTGGGGCCCTGTTTGGCGCTGCAAATCCTGGAGGCGCAGTCATCTGAGATCTCGACCCTGGAGAATTCACCAGAAAATCAGTAAGTTAAGCACTTCAAAGCTTTTGTTTCTTTTTGATAATTGCACTCAGATTAAATCTGAAACAATAAAAGCTGCAGATAAATAAGCGGAATAGAAGTTAAAAAGACAAGTGATGCCCTAACCTGACAGCTTGTTAAAAGAGAGTTGAGAATAATTGTTGGTAAAACCATTAGATTCCTCATTATTAAATAGAGAGAAACCATTCTGAGTACCGAAACCATTCTGAGTACCAAAACCATCAAGCTGATAGCTTCTGCTATTTGGAAAATCTTGACCGAGAGGATGATGACTATAACTTCTCTCAGTGTAACTTAGAGATGGTTGAGGATGACTCAATGGATTCATCGTCTCCTCCTCCCTTGCAAAGGAGAACCTTGATTGATTGCCGCTCTGTAATTTTCTTGAGTTTGATACTCTAAGAGACCCTTGTTGGTTATCAGTTTCTCCCAACAACTTAGCCAAGTTCTGAGAGGTTAACGACTCATTCCATGGGTCAAAATCCATAGACAAAATATTAGATATTATACTGTTCTCTCCCCTATCTACAGTAGTACTATGGTCCACACTAGCAGCTTCAGCTTCAAACCTATCCATGTTCATCCCCTTCCCATCATTAGACAGTGGATAATAAGTGTCATCAGTGCTTCCCAAATTACCCACACGATGGAATGCATTTTCAGGGTATCCATTAGGAAGTCCTCCAATGCTAGAAGGCTGTAATACTGAATCAGTTCTTTGGTCAAACGATTGCATGTTGGCTTTAATAGGTCCAACACCATTGGCAAGCTGTGGAGAATAACCCTTAAGCTGCACTGAAGAGTGTAAAGAGATGGAAGGACTTGATGAGTAGCTTTTCTCTACAATTACTTCCGGATCCCTATGTCTCTGTGCATTGAAAGATAGCAAATCATCCTCCATTGCAGGAGTTGTGTCTTGTCTTTCTTGAGCCTGTGTTTCCAGTCTCAAATTAGACGTTTCTCTTGAGATAGCAGTCACAGATTTCCCATTCATCTGAGGAGGCGAAGGTTCCCTTGATTTCTCATAGCTGGCAAGTGACTTTTGCTGTCTATCAATGCTAAATGATGATAAATCTGAGCATTCATTATTGATCTCAACATCTGTGGCATCACAGGAATCTTCTGATAAACCAGGTCCATAGGCATTTGTAGCTCTGGATGGTGTGATCAAATGTTTACCTTTGTCCTCCAAAGATGGGGTGATAGGTAGTTGATTGTTCATGAATGAAGAAGCAGTACATATAGCGATAGCGGATTCTTCAGAACTATAGGTTGCATCATCTGCGCCTGCGGACTGCTTAACAGGTTCTAACATCTCTGTTTTACCTTTCTCTTGACTAGTGCCACTTTCTTTGCTGTGAATAAATTTCTTTCCTGATTCAGTAGGCAATGACAAAACCTGACTAGTGTTTGCAACAGCTGTAGAGAATGTCAGTGAGCTACAGGTCTCAGCCTTCTGTTTAAGAGGCCCATTAGAACTTGGTGCGCTGGCAGGCGGCAGTCCATTAGAACTTGATGCAGTGGCTGGCGGCAGTTGGTTATTTGATGCACGCGTTCCCCTAGCAAAATAAAAAAAATGTATTAAGATTTTAAGAACCATATACCAATGAGAAAAGTGGGTGATTCTAATTGCATACCATAAAGCGCCGGTCGGAAGAGCAGCTGATCTACCAGAGCTGCTATTTGGTGGAGAGATTCTGGCATTGATTGCTGAATTCTACAAGGCATATGACAAGATTATAAATTTCACAGACACTTTTGGCATCATCTCCAGTAGGCAGTAGGAATAAGAAATTTCAAACTTCATCAACTTTATACCTAAAAATCTCGAAAATGCAATACGACCATATGAAGATGGAAATATCAAAAGTTTAGATCACAAGAGCAAAAGCTTTATGGCCCTTCCTTGAGAAGCTGACTTCCCCATTCCGGCCTCCTCCAAATAAGGAGCTAGCATTTCCTCCTTCCCAAAACGATGGGAAGTGGGGAATGGAAAAAAGAAAAAAAAATGGAAAGAAAAGATAGAAGAAAAGAGAATAATAAAAGAAAATCTTACATTTGCAGCAGTTTTACTAATAGGTTGTCCTGCAGAAGCAGAGCTGTTATTGCAGTAATCGTCTGCTGGTGATGGTAAAACACTCCCTGATCTCCGTTGCATACTATTAATGGCACCAGTAATTTGTTGAACTCTACTCCTTTAAAATAACTATGCAAGTTAATTATTTATCCAATGAATGTACATATACAACAGATGACACGCAGAGTCACAATATAAGGTTGTCGCACCGGTCCAGAGTCCAGACACAGATAAATAATAATATACTACAAGACCTCTGAAAAAAACTCTTTTGGACTGATCAGAGCGTACAGAATAGAATTGAAGCTTATACTGCAACAGCCGTGGAAATGGCACCTGTTTATCAATAATTTCATAATTATGTTGTTACATAGATTTTTACGAAGAGCAATGACTACAGCATGGACAAAATAGTGCAAAAGAATAGTTGCTCTTTTTTCAGTGTCACATACTCCTAGACTTCTTGGACTTGATACGCCAATGATGAAATTCTAGCAACAATGTTGTTAACTACCACAACAATAATAAAATCATCGTTAAATAAATCCCATTACCTTGTGTAAGCCGATATTACTTCGTCTTTAGTAAAGCTATCCTCTTGTGACCCAATCTCGTGCAAGTATAAACAATCAGGATTGGTGCAGGGCTGGACCAAAAGAAAACTCTTCCCTTAGAGACATTAAATCTAAGATGTTACAGAAAGACTTTACAAAATATAAAATCATAAAGATTCAAGTGACGACCCCTAATCAATGTTCTGATCAAAATTCTAAGTAATTGGCTAATTGTGAAATCATACCACACTCCTCAACCAAGCATGACAGTATTTTGTGGTTCCGAAGCAAGCCCTGCCAGTAAGAAAGTAAAAAATAATTACTGAACTATAACACCCAATGCAGCATATCAATAACAAAAAATTGCACACACCTTAGAGGTCTACCGTCCAAAACAAATCCATGTACAGACTGAATACAACGGACCGCTTCCTCCTCATTTGAATAGGTAATATATCTGTAACCAACAGAAATATTTTAAAAAATGATAGCTAACGGAACTTATTTTATAAGTACTAGCTAACTGACTTTCTTTCGAATGTAAAATAAAAGAATATGCTTTGAGGATTTTAAATGCCGAACACCTAATAAATATCATGAAGTTCAACACTAATAGAAAGGCAAATCCTGGAAAATTTTTGTTGGATATTTTATGGAAAAACTGATCGAAACAGGTCTTGTTGCATGCTTTCTTGGATGGGAACAACTTCGAGGTACAAGTATAAAAAAGAATCAGTATGGAGGACTGGTCTGAATTTTTTACTTTGCAAAATTGGACCTGCCTACGGCGGCAGCCTGGCGCAGTTCCTAGAAACAAGAGGATTAGACCACGTAGCGTTGGGTAGACCAAATGCTTATTCACAACAATGTTCTTTTATTAATAAGGCAGTCAGAACAATTTTCACAGTGGTGTCCAATCCAGCTTGCATGCACCTCGACTATTCCACCCGATACCTACCACCTCCCACAAGCACAGGTACCGGGTAACTCTGCCCACCAACCACCAACGCTTAGGCCGATGGGAAGAAATCACCTAGTGTTGCCTCCGCTGAAATTTGAACCTAAGACCTCATGGTTCTCCTCCCACTTCATGGACCACTAGGCCACAGCAGAAAACAATCTTCTTATTCATCTCTTCAAAACACCAGAGAAAGGAAGTACACCCTAGAGAGTCCTGTCTTGAAGATTGTACCACTAAAATACTTGCGGGAAATCCTATATGCAGAAGATAAACATGTGACTATCGACTTACGTGAGTATAAAGCAATGTTAACACAAGAATAGTAAATTGTTATCCTAAACATAACATATGATTAGACACTTCGAATTGGAACATATGAGATCTCATAGAATGATGTAGAGGGTTTTCTAGGACAGAGAACAAGGTTCTGGAAGATAAACAACTCTCCACTTTGATCGATGCTTGGTTTTGAGGCTAGAAGCCTTACATAATTCTTTCCTACAGCATGTTGGAGCATCCTATTATTACTGCTTTAATATGAAGATTTTTGAGAACTGTACAAATGTTAAATCGGGAAGCATACTTACACACTACATGTATTATTTGCAAGCTGTTGAATGAACTGGTACAAATGTTAAATCAGGAAGCATACTTACACACTACATGTATTATTTGCAAACTGTTGAATGGCGCCAGCAGCTGTTCGAGACATGGAAACCTTCTGAACCTTTCCATACTGAGCAAAATATTCTTTCCGCTGTAGAAGCTGTTTTTTTTTNTTAGGACATTCCTAAGTGGGAAAATTCATATAAGTTGGAGAAAATGATATCTTTTTAAGCTAACTGTACATACATCTTCGTCAGCTAAACTGAGAGGCAACCCCACAATGTAGACAAGATTCCTTTGAATGACTCGCACACTGGTAAGTTGCTTTCGCAAATCAGCTGTTTTACTCTTACCCTTTCGAGATGTCGATTTTTTCTCCATGCCCGCTATCCTGTTGAAATGGCCCAAAAAAACAAAATATGAAAAATGCAGAAAATATAGGACCTACTAATCTGATAATGGAGTTTGTCCTTGAGAAAAAAAAATCATATATTACTTTTCACAGTTTGCTGCCATGCCAACAATCTTTTCCTTGTTATATGGACTGCGGCATGCAGGACACCGCCCTTCTGTCTCGTCCTTCTCAGCCATCTCCATTATGTGATGCCAACACCAGACGCATATCTATAGTAATGGATGCCAAAAGTTAACATAATTTTTCAGAGAGAGAGAGAGAGAGAGAAGTGCAAAAAAACTGTCGAATTTTGTGAACTGTTTCATCTAAAGCTTAAGCTGTTAGAGAGGAAGCACTTTTATTTATTTAGGTCAGAAATATGCCACCCTCCATCTTCCTCTAATATGCGAATCTGATTCTTTTTGTTGGACCAAGCACATTAATACTTTTGGGTTGATGGCTGGCAATAAATTGAATCAAACACCTTTTTCTACTCTATAACATGTTGAATTGTATCATTTAAAACGTGATACTTTTATTTATTAATTTAGATATGAAACGGAAACTAGGAAACAAACATGAAATAATATATCTAAGGAGTCAATATGCAGAAAAGGAAATACAGTGTTGCTTAGTATCTCAATGTTTGAATGTACCATCCCAACCTAGCAAGAGTGGTTTTTTGAAGAGTGAAACTTGACATCAAAAGACAAGCATTGATGCATAATTAGCCCAAAGAATCTCATATCTTATTGGGAGTGGAAAGGGGCTAGTGAGGAGGTTAATAAACCCTTTTTTGATTAGGACCACATACATCGGTAACTTTAAGGTAGTCTAGCTTGTTCAAATATTGTCATGAAGAAAATAAACATCAGATTGAATCATCTGAATTATACCATCAACTATAAGTTGGTTAGGTTAGATCATCCATCAATCGACATGCTCAAGAATATCTCCAGAGCTAGACATGACAAATATAAATACATCAAAAATGCCTAATATAAATCCAAGTGAACCTATCATACTTCAGAATGGCACAAGAGTTTTGATTCCTAGAAGATACCCTATTGCATACTTCATAGATTGTATTTTTCGTTTATGGCGATAAGGATTGAGTAGCTGTTATCCACGCATGAAATAACCCCTAGAACGTGTTATCTATAGTAGAACATCTTACAATAGGCATTAATTGAGTCACCCTATATATTTTGAATCAGCTACGATATAGCTTCAGGGTACAATTCTCTGCACTGAAAACAAAGAGTTCTACAACACCACCGAAGAAAGTAAACAATCATTGATACAAACAGTACCAGATTACGATTTATCATATGCATGGACAAAACAAGGCCTATAGCTGTCAGAAGCATTAACATATAGAAGACACTTCTACCCAGCTTGTCCCTTAAAAGAAATGTCCCATTTGTCTGTTACACAGCTGCGGAGGTATCTGGACTAGCTTGCGACTAACTCGGGATGACTGTATCCTCTCAATAATACAACTACGTGGTGACTTTACCTACCGAGGTTTAGACATATCGTAAGAAATCATATAGTCTTTTTGCTAAAATTTGAACCTCCATTTCAGATGGTTAACCCACACCCTTGGATGCAATTTTTTTGATGTTTTTACTATGGTTCCAAGAAACTATCACAGGTTTCAAACTTTTCTTAGGAAAGTATAGAAAGAGAACTTATTTCCCAATTAGCAAGGGAAACCTCAATAAACTCATGGTGTAGTTATCGTACAAAACGGATGTAAAAAATTATACAAAAAAAATAATTGTACTATCGCTTTCTTTCAACTCAGCGTAATGATTCTTTCAGTATTTATATTATAAGGAATGGTCATGCAAAGGGCTGTCGAGTTTAGTCACAAAAGTGTAACTCACCCAACCCACTCAAACTTAGGCTGGTTAGGCTAAGAATATATTCATCTATAAGTCAATTTGGGCTATCTAAGTAGCCCAAGTTGACAACGTAAGAAAAGCTTTGTCCAAAAAACAAAAGGAAATAACTTCTTGATTAGCTATGTATATATTGTATTTTGCTTCGGTTGTCAAATCGGTTTGCTTGTTATTGCCCTTCCCCTCTTCTCGTCCTGAGCCGAGGGTCTACCGGAAACAACCTCTCTGCCTTATTAAAGGCAGGGGTAAGGTCTGCGTACACTCTACCCTCCCCATACCCCACTTGTGGGACTACACTGGGTATGTTGTTGTTGTTGATTAGCTATGTATATTCTCTATAGATTTGCACTCTTTCCCTCCTTGTAAAGAAAAGAAACCTTTTCCAATTTGATGATTAAACAAATTATTAAAGAAACAACAAAGTGAACAAAGAGCAAGTGCGGGTTGAATTGAGTTATAAAGAATAAGTTATGACCTATTGTTTTGCCCAAATTGGCCTAACCCATTTTTACCATGTAAATTTAGTGACTCAACCCATATTGACCTGCCCAAATTCAGCCCAACTTGATCATTTGACACTCCTAGGCACTAGACATCCGTAAACCTTTATGTACTTTGTTTATTGATAACGTTTATGTTATGTAGTTCTCCACAATTTCTTTTTGCAAGTCATAGTTAGACAAGAATTTCCTCTTCCTTTATTTTTTTAATGACAGGTAAGATAAAAGATACGAATTTCCTCTTATGCATAGGTCCAGATCTATTGTATAGCTTTCCTTTTTTTATCTATACTACCATATTCTTTTGAGCTACTACCTTAAAAGGTAACTCTAAGATTTGTTTTAGTTTCTGCACATACAGGTTTCTTTTCTGTAGTTAATCCAAAACTTACCATGAAAAGCAAACATAAAAACATGCCAACCTGCTAGGTGGGCTTTAGGTGTTCTTGTCATTTTAAGAAACTGGATTTTCCTGCTAAGGAAACTAAAATTTAAAAACCCCACACCCAATAAGACGATCTAAGTAGGTATTCGAAAAAAGCAGCGCATAATAGAGCACAAATAAGGACAAGTATGCACTCTATGCAACACCAAATTCTACATCAACTGTGAAGAATAAGTGGAGACGGGAACTTATATATCCTTCTCTCAATCTCTCTTTGCCTTTCCACAGAGGATATGGGCAGCAGTTCCACCCAAAGCACATGGATTACCAACCTAAAAGAGTCAGCTATCTTCCACGCAGAACTACTATAGGGTGAAAACATCTGACCTGATAAAGCATATGCACAGTAGAAGCGTACTGCAAAATTAATCAGCCATTTTCCTTACCCTCCCCCCCCCCCCCCAAAAAAAAACCGGGCCTCCTGAAGTTGATTAAGACAATTTTCATTAAAGTACCTCTAAGTATATAGTTGTATGATTGTGGTTTGCTAGACACAAATTTAACTGCGACTGTCACCCAGAAGCACATACTTATGAACTCTTATCTCTTACGCATATGGAAGGACAGGCACGAACGCGTAAAAGCAACTTTTTGGAAGTAACATCATACAGATACACAAACTATCAAATCGATTTCACAAATTCTTATGAAAAATACAAGCATTGTTATCAAAGACTCGCTTGAGATGCACTTATGGTATGAAGCTAGGTGCAAAACAGGTTAAGTGCTTCACCTTGCTTAGCTGACACTTCAGTGGAAGCACTAAGGCGTGCGCCTATCACCATCGCCATGGGCTTTTACTTAAAGGCAGTGCCAATAAGCAAAAATTGTAGTTTTTCTCTATTCTTTTTTCAATAAAATTGTGATTTGTGTTTACAGTTATTCTTCTTGAATTGCACAGATACTTTTAATAGACATTTTTCCATTAAAATCCCCATAGCGCTATAGATCTCTGCTCTTCATTTCGCTTTTAACATTTGATAATACTGACTATCAATCTTCTCAAATAAAATACTAACTTTCAAGACAAAATTAGAGGACTAAGAGTAGAGGGCAATCACCAAAATACCAGAAAGGCATCTCCACTGCAGCCATAATAAGCATGTCTTAATAAGGAGAACATGTGAATAAACAATAACTAGTCTCTCAATGACCAGGTTCAACACAAACAACACGGCTTCAAATTGCATTCGTGAAACATAATCAATAATTCAAAAAGGACATTATCTTTAGTGTAGGAGTGTAGGAAATTTGATGAATTACAAACCTGATAGCCACATTTGCAAGGCTTCAACTGCTGATCTGTCAAATCCATCTCCTCAGCACATAGAGGGCAGGTTCTTTCTCCTTGGTCACTCATGGTTACCTTCACCAAACAAAGTATAACAACAACAACTAAGCCTCAGACACAAACAAATCAGGGTCTACTGTATGATTACTCACTGACCATATTACCCCATATAGGCTCATCTCATATTATACAAAATAACCATTGTAATAAAAAGTACTAGAAGTTCCTTATATTTTCTATTGAGGTATAAATCTCAGAAAGGCTAAGCAACTCCTATAAAAGCATAGGACGTGAAGTAGATCGCCATAAAATTAACTCGACACAGAACCATTCAAATCTCACAATCCATTCACTTATAATGCACCACTCTCTCTGCATGAAATTCCATCTCAACAGCTTTACTTAATCCACACACACAAAAAAAAAGTCAAAACTCTTATTGACTCGAAGATTCAATCTTTTTTATTTCCTTTACTTTTCTAATTAATCAAACCCATCGATCCAATACAAAGAACTAGTAAAAAATCTAGAATTATATCTCTGAAAAAATAAAATTATTTCTAAAAAAAATTAAGCTTTACCAACTCAAAATCCAAAACCCCATAAAATCACAAACAAAAATCAATCAAACACCAACACAAATCGATTGAATTAATAACAAAAAACAAAATCAGGGATCTGATAACAAAAAGATAAAAATTATAAAATTAGGGTTTGCGATTGGACTTACAGTGATGAGTGGGTCAAATTCGGGCGAATTGTAAAACGGATGAGACACAAAACGATAGAGAGAGAAAGAGAGAGAACCACACACACAACTGCTTTTGGAGCTTCAGAGAGAGAGAGAGAGGGAGTGAAATGGGTTGGGTCGCTTTTTTTGAGTTGATTGGATGTGTCTTTTCGGGTCACCTAATTATTATAAACGGGCTCGGGTTGAAGATATAGTTGTAGTTATTTTGGATGCTTTACACGTGGCGGTGTAGGAATGATCAACGGTTGTGAGTTATTCACGTTGAGTCTAATTGACGGAGATCTAGTGCGGTGAGTAGTGGAAACTCCGTACTAACTAAAATAGTATATGTAATGTTGCTTGTATTTTCCATAATTGCAATAATCGTTTATAGTCCCTCACCGGAGGCTTGGAACCGTGACAGTGTTCCTGGTGTAGCAGGAAAAGAGGCTGCACGTGAAAGAGTACCTAGACGAAAATGTTATTTCTTGGCCATTGGATCAGCAAGGGTGTGATTCAGATGGATCAAGAGAAAACCAGGTCTGCTGTGGATTGGGAAGTGCCGAAGAATGAGAGAGTAGGCAGCAGTGGTGAAGCTGGATGCTCGAAGTCATTTTAGATATGGCAAGACAGCTTAGGAGGAGTAGAAAGTTGCCACAACCTAGGAGGGGTTTATAGGAAGCTAAAAAACGTGAACCTTTTCACATACTTCTTAAAGGGGGAGAGCGCCAGGAGAACGTCGAGACGCTATCAGTTTGGAGCGCGAGGCCAACAGAGCTTGCTGCAGAGGATATAAGAAAAGGCTTAGCAGAGGGGATCTGGTAACAATTATGAATGTGGAGGAGTGGGGCATTTTTCTCGTTACTGTTCCAATATTCAGACGGACGAATGTTGTTAGGGTAGTGTAGAATAGACCAGCTGAAGATGGAAGAGTGAACGTTGTCGAGTGTCATACGAAATTAGGATGGCAATTAGTTACCAAAAAAAAAAAAAATTGGATAGCAATTGGATTACAAGAGAAGTCTAGTCTCATATTATTCATGAACTCAGAGGGTGTGTTTGGCTAAACTTATAAATTGGTCAAGCTAGTTTATAAGTACTTTTTGGATTATCTACACGTTTGGTAAATACCCAAAGTGCTTATAAATCAAGTGTTTATAAGCTAAAATCAGACATAAGTCATAAATTGGTCACCCCCGACTTATGGCTTTTCAACTTATAAACACATTTAGCTTGACCAAAGCTTTTACTATTTTATCCTTAATAATATTTTTTAATTTGCAAAATATTTTTTTCAAAATAAATTTCCTAACTTTCTCTTCATTCCATATTCGTCGTTCGTCATTTTATTTACAAAGAAACCTTTTCATTTATAATCTTCTATGAAGTTTTAAGGGTATTCTAGTCATTTTAATAAAATAATAGCTTATTAGTATTTTTCTACCAAACACATCAACTGGTTATTACCAGTTTCAGCACGTCTATCCAAACACGTAAAATGCTTATTTAAAATATCAATTTCAGCACTTAAAAATGATTTTCAGTACTTCAAGTTTATCATTTATTTACAGTCAGCTAATCCAAACATGCTCTTAGTAGTTTGATAGTTTTAAACCCCGAAAATTTGACTTGGCAAATGATGTGGATAATTTTTTTTTAAATGCGTGGGAGTGAAGAAAAATCGAAAAAGATACCATACAACTATATAGAATGGCTTAATTGTTCAATTTATGTAGTATTTATTCTTTCTTTTTTCTTCATCTTAATATACACTGAGCATGTTTTACGAAATTTTGTATATTTTTTTCTGCTTCATATGACTATTTATTTTAACTCTGTGATTCTCATTTTTTGTAACAGATTTGTAAGTTGTTGTTTGGCTAAAAAAAAAATTGGGAGTTTTTTTTCAAATTTTATTTTCAAATATCTGATTGTTTATGGATTTTAACTATTTTTTGATAGATTTTGAAAATAAGATCTTCAAATCCTAAAAACAACTCTAGAGTAGTTTTGAAGTTTGTTACTCACAAAACTTCAAATTCTTTTCAAGTAAAATACGTGTCCAACCACAATTTCAACTTTCAAAAATTATTTTTTATCTCATCTTTAAAAAACTCATTTTTTGTTTCAACCAAATATATGTCCAAACGCTAGCCAAATGACTTGGTTGGAATATATATATATATATATATATATATATATATTAAAATGCTCATTTGATGACAAA